TGAAGCATGTCATTCTTCAATAAAATATAATGTATACCCAAATTGAGGCATTTATTCATTTGTGTAGGAAATGAGTTAACTGAAATACTGTATAAAGTGAGTGAAGTTTATCAAGCAAATTACTCAAAGCAATGTTACTTATTCAATATTTTCATGTCAGAAAAGTAAAAATCTAATGTCACTCTAGTGCATTATTTTTTGCTAGGTAGTTTCAAAATTAAGATATAATCATTTTTGAAATATCTAATCTCATGCTTGTTTCTACCCTCAGATGACTGTAGTTATGCTTCATAATACAAGAAATGTAAATGCATTTCCCCCAAATACCAGGGAGTATAAAGAACCTTACATTCTCCTTTCAATAGAGAAAATATCAAGGACTTCTTTTTAAATATTTGTAGGAAAAGGAAACATAATGATAATAAAAATAATCTGTTTAATGGTTAAAGTAGTGGAGCTGTGTAATTATAATCAATAGGAAAACCCCAAAAGTTTATTTTTTATTATCCAACTTTTAAGCAGAGCGGTATGTAAATAAAATGGTTTTATTAACAAAAAACATATTATATTAGTGTATATTTTGAAAACATTCTACTAAAAGTTTTCTGATTTGGTTGGTTTGTTTGCTGGTCTTAAAATAATCTCTTGCCCTGGACACCTTTCAGAGGGTAGCTTGGAGTGTTCACCATCACTCTCAAACTCCCGGAGGTATTTAAACTTTTCTGCAATCAGAGCAAGTAATTTCATGTTTCATGACTAATACATTACCCATCAGTGTGTACACCAAAACAGAATTATATTATATCACAGTTGTTGACATTCAGAGCAAGCAAACAGAAAAACAGCATGATAGAACTCAGATATTGTAATGCATTGTTTCTTCCATAAATTTTAAATTTAAATTTCCAGATTACAGCTAAATAAAGCAAAGCAGAATCATTGCTGTGTTTACCAGGTTCCCAGTAACGTTTACTGAGACATTATTTTTTAAGGTAGTTTTGTTTTGCTTGCTGTTATAATGGGAAATCCAGATAACAAAATTAATAGTCTTAGTCTAATTTTGAAATCACAAATCACTAAATTTGGGGGGAAATGAATAGAATTATGTTATTGCTAGAAAGTTATATCTCACTGCAGATTTCAATAGTTGATGTCCTGGAATCAGTCTAGGACAAGAAAAATAACATGTTATCAAAATCAGATGGTTGTGTTCTAGGAATCTTATTTGCCAAGCATGCTACAAGGCTAAATTCACATACCAAAATATAGATGTACTTAATCAAAGTTACTGAACTTAACCATAGTGAATACTAATTCTATTTCAGGCCAATTCAGATTATTGTTATTATTTGAATTGATGTATCACATATCTACAGCATGATTTCATCCATGAATTATAATTTTCCAAAAGATTCACATTTTTTTACCTTATTTCTGAAATTGAAAATCTATTTCAACTCAAATCACAAAAAAAAAAAAATTATAGTTTTTTTGGAGGGGAAAAATGAAATACTTCAAATATATGTGTAAGACAGTAACTAACATATAGAAGGCCCTCAAAAATGGTGCTTTTATTTTTATTCTCCTCACGGTTTTTTTAATACCTTTATTTTATTTACTTATTCATTTCTATGTGGTCCTGAGGATACAACCCAGGGTGAGTGCTCTACTGCTGAGCCACAACCCCAGCCCCCTTCTCTCTGTTTTTTTTAAATGCAAAGTCTTCACATATTTTAGTGGAACAGTTGTGTTAAGCAAGACTTGTTTTTGCCAATACATATCTTCTGTATGAAAATTAACAAAACTGATTCTAAAATAGCTATATTTATTTATTAGTTTTGTAGGGTCATATATACCAAATGTTATCTGATTGCTCTGGGATTTGTTAATAGAAATTAATCTGTGAAATCATCTTAAATTTCATGTTTTATATTTCTACTACTATATATACAAAAATGCCTTCCATAATACATATAGAAACTTATGCCAAAGAGGAGCATCATATTCATCAGGTATAGACGGCTTCATGCAATGGATGCACACCTATATAATGAATGTTCCATATTTTTTTCCTGAGCTCCACAGTAAAAAAGAAAAATCTGAAGAAAGCATTTGATACCGTTTTTAAAATGCAAAATTTATGGAAGGTTCCTTGTATCTTACATCATACTAGAGCTGTTTTATTACTCTACATACATATTTCTAATCAGATGAGTAATGAACTAAATGTAAATATCACTGCAAGACCTCCTTTTTAAAGTTTATTTTCTCACTTTGTTTAAAATAAATTGGAATATTTCTGTTTCCTTCTAACAGTAATATTTTATTTTCACTGTCAGAATTTCCTTAAGGAACGACAGATTTTTATTCAATTGACTGACACTTCCATCTGTTTTGTGTGATGTTTATTTAGAAAGAATACACCTGCTGTATTTGAAGTTTTAAATATGTAATTTTTTTCAGTTTTCACTATTCTTTTAGTATTCTGCAATATCAGTGAATATAAGATTCCTTTCTTAGTGTTAATTACCACAACTTGAAGAATATAGAGAGAGTAAAGAATATTGTGAATGTAACACAAATGTAAAATTCAAATGATATTTAGTATTAATCTCGCTAAGTTCATGAATTCATGTTGAGAAGATATTTACTAATTAATATGAAAGAACTATAAGCCAATGACAAAATGTATAATTTATTTATTTTTAAGATGTGAAAAAAATCAAATAAGTCACCTGATACTCACTGATTTTAAGTTAGTGCTTTTAATTAATAAAAACCTAACCATGACCAACAACTCATTCACAGTTGTACATGCTTTTAGTATTTTACCTAACTCATGAAGCTATTTGTCCTATGCTTAGGAAAAAGTCTCTTCACTGTATAAAATATAGTGACATAATGGGAAGGAATTTTTAATTTTATTTACTTCTTAATAATTACAAATTATCAACAAAAAATGGAAAGATGGATATTTTCAAAATACTTCATTTTTTATATATCCATACCTTCCTTACTGTATGATCATATACTCAAGTAAAATTAGTGTAGCTCATAAAATGTATCTGAACCTTTGTAAACAGTTGAAATCAGAATTTGCTGTATTAACAAAATTCATAAGCCAATCTATTAAAAATGATAATTCACAAATGTAATTCACAAACCACATCATTTATATACTGACTTAAGAAAGTCACAGGTTTATCCCAGAAAAAAAATTCTATCAGGATGTTCATCAAAGAAAGTGTTATTAATAAAGAATACCTTACTGTTGAGAAAGGTCTTCAATAAGAGAATAATAAGGATAAGAATTAGAAAATAGAGTTCCCTTTTGAGTCATTAAGCATAAAGAAAAATACAACCTGAGGAGATGTCAAGCATCTACTATGTTTGTCCTCCAACAAATGCAGAGAAACATGGAAATCATCAGAACTGTGAAAATAACTGCTGGCCTGCAAATTCATTCAAAGCATTACAGGAACTCTACACAGAGCCTACGGTTCTATTTTACAAATTAATTATGGATCTGTTAGGAAAAAATGCACCCACAAGTGAATTAGTACCTTACATTTTCTGTGACTAAAAAAGAAAGTTTCAAGTTATTGTATTATTTAACTATGTATATCCTCAAAAGATCTCCATTCTTAAAACAATTTCCAAAATTATGGTAAATTATTTGCACTATTATCTTGAATCTGGAAGACTTCTTTAATATTTCCAGATTTTGAATCTCTTTTGACTTTCACATTGCAATCATTTTATTAAACCTAAATATGTTTTCAAGTCACTTTATTTACTCAAATAGATTAATACTTTTCTAAGACCTACACAGACAAAATAATAAAGTCAACATGTGGCATGACTTTGAAAGAAAAACATAGATAAATTCTATAACTTTATTAAGAAAACAACAATACTTATATGATTTAATATACTCATGAACTTTGAGAAAAAAAATTGTCTTCATTGTTCTATGGAATATAGAATATAAAAAGCGTGTATGTAGGCTTGTTTTCACAAATGAATTGAATTTTAAATTATTTTGCACAGATTTCTTGGGTCTTTATATGCTCTTATTTCCCTTCCTGCACATTAGAGAAAGAAAAATTACTCCATTTCCCAAAAGGCATTATCTCTCTCTCTCTTTTTTTTTTAGTTTTAGGTGGACACAATATCTCAATTTTATTTTTGTATGATGCTGAGAATCGAACCCAGTGCCTCACACATGCTAGGCAAGCGTGCTACCACTTGAGCCACATCCCCAGCCCAAAGGCATTATCTTTTAAGAATGTCTTCTGAAGGGCTCTGAATACCATGCATAAATATGTACACATTTAACTGATTATCTAAAATAGAGATCTTATATAAATTTCAGTTGCTGGCTTGAAATTGAGAATGAGCATCCTTTGTTTTTATAATCCCATTATTGCTATATTGTGTGAATATAGATTTATTGTACCAAAATAATTTTGAGTTCCTAATCTTCAAATTCTTCATTGTGGAGACGTGTAGGCATGATGGGATATGGGTGAGAGGATAACTTGCTGCCATTTAATTACTTTTCTCCAAGTGAAACTGGGGTTCCCAACATCATTAGTGTTAAAATATGTTCAATAGATTCTAAAAAGCTTTATTGTATGGTAGCTAGCCCAGATCTTTCTGATCCTCAATACACAATAGTAGTGAAGACAATGCTATAACCCTTGTTATAGAGGTTTCCCAGTCTATTTTCTAGCATAAAGCATTATACTGTCATCTACAGACAAAACTGCCCCCCTATTATAATCATGATTCTGCACCCATTTTTCCTATAACCAACAGTCATTTTATTCTGATTTTCTATCAGTCTTAATTCAATTCATATATCTATTTGGATGTTTCCATACAATATAATCGTTTTGATCCCTCTTGGAGGTCAATAGTTTCTGTAAAGTTCTACATCAACTGAAAATAAGAAGAACATAAATTTAGAAAGGTCAGTTAGAAATGGGATTACCTACCGGTCTGGTGTGTACAGACACAGGAGTCTTGAAGGTTGTCACTGGATAGCTGCACTCAGAAACACTGTAGGGATCAGAACTGCTGGAGGAACACTTGGAGATGGAATCACAGGCCACGAAAGTGTTATCAAGAGGCAGTTCCTGGATGATGTGGTGCTTTGAATTCAGGGGCGTTTCAGGCTGAATCTGGAAGGCTGGCTGTGGAGAGGCAGATTTGTAGTGTCGGGCCAAATCAGGGCTGTCAGGCTTGAAGGTGGTAGGCGTAGTGCCCCAGTTGTATTTGCCCATGGTTTGCTCTTCCAGTTCAATGGGAAGGTCTAGTGTGACACTGTTTCCATCATTGTCAGCATCATCTGCCTTTGTTTCTTCAATAGTGACAAAGTTAAGCAGCAAGTTCTTAGGGGCATGCTTCTTCTTCTTCTTCTTCTTCTTTTTCTTCATCATTATCATCTGCCTGTTTTCTGGGTTTGGAGTAACCCATTCAGAATTCTGCTTGTTTTTCTGAGCAGCCTTAAGGTGTGGTGGTTGGCGACATCTTACTACAGCAGTGATGAAAATCACTAGTATAACAGTTATAGTGCCAGCAACAATGGCAACCATGATCTTGACATAGTCACTGGTTGGTGAGGATGTATCAGCTGTCTCAATATTTTGGGTCGCTGGTGCTTCAATGCTTTTGCGCACCAATTCATGAATGAGTGTAGCATTGGTCACTGTCTCATTCACAAACAGATTGACAATTACAACACTGAAGAGAGAATCAGGTTGTCCTAAGTCTTTAGCTTTAACTACCAATCTGTGTAAACCAAGATCTGCAACCACACATTTCTCCTTCAGTGTGATGTTGCCAGTTGTTTGGTCAATTACAAACAGTCCCTTTGTGTTTCCTCCTACAATGCTGTAGTGAAGCTCTGCATTCATTCCAGTGTCATTGTCAATGGCAACTACCTTAAAGACCACTGTGCCTGGATTAGTGGATGGGAGAACCAGTTCATAAGAATAGTTGGAAGGAGGGACAACAAACACTGGTTTGTTGTCATTGACATCAACTACATTTATGGTTACTTTTGCAGTTGAAGAGCGTGATACCCTACCACCATCCTCTGCCTTTACATAAAAAGTGTAAGATTCTTGTTTTTCTCGATCAAATGAAATATTTGGCCTAATGACACCAGTCTGTGGGTCAATGGTGAAGTCATCATTCACATCTAAAATGGAGAGAGTGACTGCAGAATTCTCTCCATAATCAGGATCAGTTACGGTGATTAGTCCTACTGTGCCATGTCTTGGAAGGTTTTCTGGGACATAGAAGTTGTACTCATTGTGAGTGAAAATTGGGCTGTTATCATTCTGATCAAGGACGGTTACTAAGACTGTGGCATTAGTCATTAATGGTGGCATCCCATTATCTTTTGCCAGAACAGTGAAATAATATTTTTCCTGTTTTTCTCTATCTAATTTTTTCACTGCAGTCAGAATGCCTGTTCGATGATCCAGGTTGAATTCAGATGGGGCATCAGTACCTAAAAGGTAACTGATTTCAGCATTATGTCCACTGTCTGCATCTGTTGCACTTATTTTGGTCAGCTGTGTGCCAGGGGAGTTATTCTCAGGAACAGAAAGACTTATGAAGGGCTGGGTGAAAACTGGAGCATTGTCATTTTCATCTTTCACTTTGACGAGAAGCATTGATGACTGATTCAAAGGAGGTTTGCCAGCATCTGCAGCCAGTAATTTAATGGCATATTCTCTTGTGGACTCATAGTCAAGATATGCAGCAGTTTCCAGGAGGAACTGATTACTGAATACTGGCCTTAATCTGAAAGGAACTTCATGATCTGTGAAGCATGTCACTCTACCATTATGGTCAGCATCCTTATCCATTACAGTAATGAGAGCAACTTTGGTGTTAAGTGGAGCATTTTCTGAAAGAACCACAGTGCCATTGGTTGGATTGATAATGTATCTTATATCAATTGATGGGACATTATCATTGATATCTGTAACATTTACCAGGACCATTGCTCTTGCTGGCACTGATCCACCATCACTTGCCAAAACCAGTAACTTATGACTTGGTGATTCTTCTCTATCCAGGGGTTCTTTGACTGTGATGAGTCCAGTGGTGGTGTTAAGGTGAAATAATCTCTTGGCAATATTGGAGACTAGATTGCTGAAATAGAAGTGAATCTTGGCATTTTCACCTATGTCAGCATCTGTAGCATGGAGTTGTGTCACTGAAGTTCCTACAGGAGCATTTTCTGGTATACTAACTTCAATTTCCTTCTCCTTGAACACAGGGCGGTTGTCATTTGTATCAGCAACACTTACTTGCAAAATAGCAGTACTGGATCGTTGAGGAAAGCCACCATCTTCAACCTTTACTTTCATTACATAGGTATCCTTCTCTTCCCTATCTAACTCCTTTTGAACAATCAGTTGTGGCATCTTGTCTCCTTCTGGTGTCTCTATGACATCAAGCCCAAAAATATTTTGACCCTGGAAAACACATAATGAAATACACTTTTACTTATGTAATACAAAATAATATATGTTAACAAAATAATAATTATAATATATATGTCAGATTATGTTATTTTATGAATTAGAACAATTTTCATTTTCTTAAATCACATGACATAGTAAGGTAAGTTCATAGGTGCTAGAAAACTTTGGGTCTAAGTCTCAACTCTGCCTAAAAACTAATATTATGACCACAAGCCAATGGCTTAAAAGTTGCAGGTATTTATAAAATTAAAGAGTTGTTCTAGAAGATATTCTGGAGGAGTTTTAGTTTGTAAGATTTTATGATAATAAATGAAACCCATTTATACAAATTATTGAAATTTTCAAAAGGAAAACTTGTATAGAATTTTTTAAAGAGAGAGTGAGAGAATTTTTTAATATTTATTTATTTATTTTTAGTTTTCGGCAGACACAACATCTTTGTTTGTATGTGGTGCTGAGGATCGAACCCAGGCCGCACACACGCCAGGCGAGTGTGCTACTGCTTGAGCCACATCCCCAGCCCAACTTGTATAGAATTTTAAAAAGAATTGTCACTAAACTGCACACGATAAATGAAGCTAGAAGTGAATTACCCATGATCAATCCAACTGAATTAAAACTTTTTTACACTTGAATTTAATTGTTTAAGATACCTTTTTATGACCAAAAGAAACCAGAAAGTATAAAATACTCAGCCAAGGCAATAGCATACATAACATATAAATGTAGTTAAAACCTTTGGCAGATAAAGAAAAAACACAAACTCTGATTAGAATATAAACTTGGGTAAAGTGCATACAAATTTTCATTTATTTTCCTGTAGAAACATTATAAAAATGAAATTATCTTGGGAATTAATAATTAAATATTATTTTATTAAATCTTAATAAAAATACAATGGACAAAAACTCACATGCTGAAATATCACATTGAGAAAGTTAGTATGGGGCAATACCTATTTTCTCTTTATGCCCATGAAGTCAAAATATGGGCCTGTCACAAAAAAGAGTCCTATCTCTGAACTATAGTAAGATGAACCCTACACAAATAGAAATATTGCCAGCTGACTGAGTAATGTGGGCTGGCTCTCAAAGAGAGATCTAACTAGTGTTACTTGAAGCATTTGAATAGAAATTAATAACATAAAAGTCACTGGAGGGTATGAGGAAAATACTGGAAAATAACCTTAAGCTTCCTATCAAATAACTGACTTAAGAATATATATATATATATATATATGAACAAACAGAAATATATAAGTAAATGATTTTAATTCATTAATACATTTTTAACATAAAAGTTGATGATACATGGGAAGTGCCAGACACTGATCTTTCACTTAGGTGCTCTGTCATAAAAGAACAGGGAAACATCTTATTTTTTCATAGATTTTTATATGATTGTCTAAACAAGATCTTATAAAATAGAAGTTAATAAAAGATACCAGGTTTTCAGGGACTGTTAGTTGTCAGTTTATAAACATATTCCATATCACATTATCTATGTTTTATAGTTCTGGGGATTGAAGCCGGGGCCTCACACATGCTAAGCAAGAACTCTGCTATTGAACCAAATTCCCAGTCCCACATTATCTTTTAAAATTTAACTTAATTGTTATATTTGCTTATATGTAATTTAATATAATAATACCCTACTACACATATCTTTTTCCTCTTGTGAATTAAAGATATTTCTGCAAACTTTAGGAATTTTTCCTTTTTGACTCAGATCCACTTATACTTTTATTTTTTTTAATTTTTATTGTTGGTTGTTCAAAACATTACATAGTTCTTGATATATCATATTTCACACTTTGATTCAAGTGGGTTATGAACTCCCATTTTTACCCCGTATACAGATTGCAGAATCACATCGGTTACACATCCATTGATTTACATATTGCCATACTAGTGTCTGTTGTGTTCTGCTGCCTTTCCTATCCTCTACTATCCCCCCTCCCCTCCCGTCCCCTCCCCTCTTCTCTCTCTGCCCCCTCTACTGTCATTCATTTCTCCCCCTTGTATTATTTTCCCCTTTCCCCTCACTTCCTCTTGTATGAAATTTTGTATAACCCTGAGGGTCTCCTTCCATTTCCATGCAATTTCCCTTCTCTCTCCCTTTCCCTCCCACCTCTCATCCCTGTTTAATGTTAATCTTCTTCTCATGCTCTTCCTCCCTACTCTGTTCTTAGTTACTCTCCTTATATCAAAGAAGACATTTGGCATTTGTTTTTTAGGGATTGGCTAGCTTCACTTAGCATAATCTGCTCTAATGCCATCCATTTCCCTGCAAATTCTATGATTTTGTCATTTTTTAATGCAGAGTAATACTCCATTGTGTATAAATGCCACATTTTTTTGTCCATTCGTCTATTGAAGGGCATCTAGGTTGGTTCCACAGTCTTGCTATTGTGAATTGTGCTGCTATGAACATCGATGTAGCAGTGTCCCTGTAGTATGCTCTTTTTAATATCCTCAAAAAAAAATAAAATACTTGGGAATCAACCTAACAAAAGAGGTGAAAGACTTATACAATGAAAACTACAGAACCCTAAAGAGAGAAATAGAAAAAGATCTTAGAAGATGGAAAAATATACCCTGTTCATGGATAGGCAGCACTTATACTTTAAATTACATATAAAAATACAATTTGCTTTGGGCTGGGGATGTGGCTCAAGTGGTAACGTGCTCGCCTGGCATGCACGGGGCGCTGGGTTCGATCCTCAGCACCACATAAAAATAAAATAAAGATGTTGTATCCACTGAAAATTGAAAAATAAATATTAAAAAAATCTCTCTCTCTTCTCTCTCTTGCTCTCTCTCTCTAAAAAAAACACTACAATATGCTATGGTAGAAGCATTAGATGCTTATTATGAAATTTAAGGTAGCATATCAGAAATATTAATTTAAATCATCAGTTTGGTAAATTGTGATTTAAAAAATTATATGAATTAAACAATGTGTACTTGTTATTATATTGTTTTTAAATGATACAATGTAATTTTATATGTCAATTAAATGAATAAAAAGAAAAAGTGAGCATTCAATCCATTTATATTTTGTCAATATAAAACAATAAATAATCTGACTTTTCTTTGAATAGACAACAAGAGAAAAATTTTTCATGTTTTAACTATTACAGTGTAAAAATTAACAAGCCAGAATCTATTATCTCTAATATGGCATATTTCAAGAAAAGTAGAATTTTATGACAAAAATATCCTATATGAATACAGTATACATTATGAAAACTGACCCAAAGAAGCGATTAATCATAATTAATGACTTATTTTTGAAATATTATTCCAAAAGGCTTTTATGTGAGCTCAAATCAAGATGTCTCATTCATGGATGGAAAAATAGTTTCTAAATTGAAATTCATAAAAATCTCTAGTACTTAACACTATTTTGTTAATTCTTAAGATGCCAATATTGAGTGGCTATCATAGTCAGAGTCTTCTTCTCAGTACAGGGCACATATGGTGGTGAGTAAACGTTTTACTAACATAATGGGAATTAAATTCTAGCTAAAGTGAAAGACAAATCAATGACTAAGTACTTAATTATGGTATTGATATTAGCAGATTAATAAAAAATTATATTTTAATAAGAGCTCTAAAGGAAGATTACAAGGTATTGGGTTATATAAAGGGAAAATAACATATAAAATATACCATAAAATAATGTGTAAAGGTTCCGAAGTTATGTTTATGTATTTCCTGCTCATATTTTAAAAAATTAATCCTGTGTTTGCCCAAATTTTGAGTTGGGCTTTGCTTTGCCATGAAAATTCAGGCAAGTTTATGTCGGTTGAAAACTTCAAGAATAGCATACTCACTGTCTTTTATTTATTTGAAATTGTAGTAAAAGACAAAACTTTCTAATTATCAAAGTGATACTGAAGTGTATGTATACATACACACACACACATACACACACACCAGCTAATGGATAATGTTCCTATTACTCTTCTTTCTTCTATGACTGCTCTGTTCAATATGATACTGATTAGTTCTAAGGGAGTATTTAAATTTAAACTTTAATTAATAAAAATTATATAAAATTGAAAAATCATTTCTTAGTTACACTAGCCACATTTTAAGTTCTCAATAGCTACTGTGTTGGAAAGCAGAAAAGGAACATTTCCATTATTGTACAAGGTTCTATTAAATCATAGTGTTCCAAGATGCCACAATGTTTTTGTTTGTCAAGAAAACTCTATGTCCACGTAGGCGAGTGCATGTATAATGCTTCCTCCCCACAAATATTTAGATCCCAACCAGTGACCTTCCAGTTGAAGTATTTAAACTTTTATTGTTCAAGGAATTTGAGGCAATACATGACAGAAATAATTTTCAACAAACTTTGTTTTTTAAACTTTTCAAAAATATTTTTGGTATCTGTGATCGAATCCAGGTGTGCTTAAAAACTGAGACACATCCCCAGTCCTTTTATTTTATTTTTTTTAAATTTTGAGATAGGGTCTTTCTAAGTTGCTCAGGGCTTCACTAAATTGCTGAGGCTATCTTCGAACTTGTGATCCTCCTGCCTCAGCCTCCTGAGCTGCTGGGATTAGAGGAGTGCACCACCTCTTCTGGATAAAAAAATATTTTAGAGAGATATCTAAGTTTATGTAAAATATGGTGTCAATATGAGCTTGGAATCATTGAATGACTATTCCAAGAATGGTTTGTCCAACTCCTTGAGAAATGAAGAATAATTAACACAGAGAATCAACATTAGTCCTACCCCATTGTAGTTAGCTCAACTGAAATACAAACATGAACAATGAAAAAAATTAAAGCCCTTTGCCCTTCATTTGATCAGGACATGTTAGTGAAAAAAATGAGAAAGGAATAAAGAAGATGTATAGTTCCTTAATCCATCTTCTCCCTTACTTTAACAAAGATCTAAGGTATACACAAAAAGAAGTAAAAAATAATCCAGATAATTGACTTATAAGTACCCAAAATTCTAAACCTACCTAAAGT